TAATTGAGGGAAATAATACAGACCAGTATTTTGTGTATAAACTTTCCAGTAAAATTTTCCAGGTAGGTATATGTAATAATTCGATTGGGTAATAAAAAGTGCCAAAGAGAAAAAGTCCATTTTGAAATTGACTATATATATATTCAATTGATCACGTGACCGCGCAATATACATATGTGATATTTCTATCCAAACAAAATCCTTTATAGTACAAGCAGAGAACAGAGTAAACTTACCTATTTATCTTACTTAATTACTACCATTAGAAAAATACTTATTTTTGATACATTATTGGAACTAACTAACATATTGCATACAAAATATATATATACAAAGTACTCGTTGCTTTGCAACGCTACTATATTCTTGTAAAGTAGCTATACACCGCCGCATGCAATAAAGCTTAGTACCAACAAGTCTGAAAACATAAAAATGCTTTGCAACTTCATCTGGACGGAAAATGAAAAATGTAAAATTCTTTACAAGAATGTTTCCTAGCCAAGAGGCGGAATTAAACGGAACAGGCAAGACTTAAGTATGGTCAGAAAGAAAAAATATTATTTTTTACCAACTACTAATGAATAATTATATAATTAATTAAATTTACTTTTTTTATACAACACGTGGCAAACATTCACCCACCTACTGGTTTTTTTTTTCAATCTACTCTAATGCTGTTGACCGCAGTTGACCTTTACAGCTTCACCAGACGGTAAGCGAGTGCAGATGGCACTCCAAACCCGCGGAAGGAGTTATGGAGCGGCTGAAGGCCAACTCCCGCCTGACGGTTACGACTTTAGTCTGAGGGCACCGCTAGTGGTTCGAACCTCGACTCAGGTCGTCGTAATTTCGATTCGCGTTTGAATTAGACGGGGGATCAATCGGAGGGGTAAATACCAACTGTAGCCTATATACATTAAGAGCGCCTAGGACATCCTGTAGGAGTCAGAAATAAAAATCAAATTATGTTCATGTTTCCAAAAGGTATCACGAGCGATTACTGGTCATTAAGAAACCTTAATATACTTTTTTAAACCTCCATGCTGTTGTTCCTATTGAAAAAAATCGGCACGTAGTTCATTCCAGAATCTGACTATGCACAAGAGAAAATATCTCTAAAACCGCAGTACCCGTAAGAGGTCAAAATAACTGAATATAACTGTAAGAAATGATATATACAACTGTGTAGGGAAACATCTACACTTTTTCCCCTTTCATATTTGGGATCAGTCCTAAGACTATAGGCGAATCTGTTCTGTGAAGCTCTTATACGGTGTGGTGAGTGGTTTCCCATTAGAAGTATCTACTTATATGTATATATTAAAAATTAGAGATAATTTACTGCTGACTGTACTTGTACTACAAGAAATGCAAAAAAAGCAAGTCGCACCAAACCAGTATTTTCCATAATATTAGTTAAAAAGCTAATATTAAAACCATAAGAGAAGTTATATTAAAGGCAATGCACTTTATATTAACGTTCGGTGAACTATCGTAAAGTTATCGCCAAGTTATCGTTAACACGCGCAGATAAGCATCTCTCACATTAACGACGTTAACGGGTCGGTTTTATTGTTCCTTGTTGAGGCACGGCGAAAGTCATAAACGACAGCGGTTACACTAATTAATATTTGTTTAGATAACAAGTTTGAGTCTTAATTGCCATTCGGAAGGAAGGATAATAATATATATCTAGCTTCCGCCTTGATGTGAATGCATAAATATTATTCATTGCTCTTGGAATATAAAATAATGCATGAATATTAAGAAAAAACGTGACTGGAAAGAATTGGATTATGTCTAAAATCATCAACTTTCTTCAGCAAATTTTCATTTCAAGATTTCAACAAACCTTGCGTTAGGTTCGTGGTTTAGTTGGAATTAGCAAGCTATGGCTAGTACATGAGTGTTGGACGATATATGAGTAGTGCCTCGTAATATAGTAAAAATATAATGCATTGAATATGTAGCAATAACATATACGGGTATGCATATCCATATTTACATATTACATAATTACTATACATATTGGTCTAAAATATGATCAAATCTTGACTAGATCGTAGTCAAGATTAGATCATAGTAGTTTACATCTCCACGGCTAGAATTAGACTGTATATAGTTCCAAACTACTATAGTAATATTTTAAGTAAACCTGAGCTGATTCAAAAGGACTGCCTCATTTAAGTTGCAGATGACTGCAAAAATCCAGTATCCACATAAAAAAGTAAGTTCTAGAAAAAGGAATGGTTTCCCTGTATTTAATTCACTTTTCTCAAGATATGCTTTAGTAAAAGACGTCTACGTGGGTTCCCTACCTGTTTCAGATGCCAAGCAGATTGCTTTTGTAAGCTATGTTTCAATTTTAACGGTGAGATATGGCAGTGAAATTACATTTAGGTACCTGACATGATGTTTTATTTTCGGAGTGGCAACGTATAAGTGTTACCACAGATGCTACATCATGACGATATGTTGGTTTAGGCCATGGTTGTGACTTTCCAATATTACTAGTTGTTTTAGACCTGTAGCATTATGACTTACAGAGATCTATTTTAGTCACCCGTAGACTTGCTTTCCTCATCTTTCAGTTCATCGTCATCCAATATGTTGCCTTTATCCTATTATTTGGATTCGGGATAATATTTTTTATCTTCTTCCTCAGCCATTGGTGTAACAATAAAACATTAGGAAAGCAACTAACTTGCGTCCAAATTAGTTGTTATTTCATTTTGTAATATATTTACTCATTCTTAATTTTTTATTCATATTCATATATTCATTATTATTATTATTTTATATTATTTTTATTCATTCATTCATGTTTAAACAAAATTAAGAAATTTTGCTAGCAAATTCTACATTGGTAACAATGTTGTATTGAATAAATTTACTCACGAATTGCGACCACAGCCATTCAAAAAGCCGTTTTAAATATTTACAAACGTACAAAGTTGTGCGTTCTGAAATTTGGGTCAACCCAATATTTTCATTAAATAAACGCTTCAACTCAAAATAAGAGTTCGCTTCTGAAATAATGTTACCATTAGGATCCGCGCAACCAGCACTAAATTTGTGTACCCTTTTAAATATTTGTTTCACGACTATATATAAATAAAGTCCATACGTAACAGCATTCAAAATATGAAATTTCCTGTTAATTGTCTAATATACTGTATTGAAGGAATGGGACTGTTTGTGTCATAGATTTTAGTCCCATTTTTAAGAATGTAGGATGCTAGGTCTCTGTCTCGATCTCATTGAAAATTTGTTCCTGAATTCACAACCATAATCTGATTTTACTTATTCTTTTATTCCTCACTGATACCTTACCAATATATAGGTATTATTACTACATCAGGGGTAATTATTTCATTATCATTAATAAAACTATGCCGTTTAATTTTACTACTCATTACGCACCTGTCTCTTCTATATAAAGAGAAAGAGAGAGGATTTTGTAACGACGAAGTAAACTTTGTAACCACTGCACCTATTTGAGAAATTTTATATTTATTTTAAATGTACAACATTTCAATGATATAAGCTATTAGTACAAATTTAACACACAAAATTGAGCACCTGGACAATGCCGGGGTGGACCACTAATAGAAGTTAATAATAAACTTTCGCTAAATATAAAGGAAAATTAAGAGTACGAAAGATCGAGACACAGCAGACTAAAGGCTAATAAATTTTATTGTTTTAATGGTATTAGGACGGATATAGCAGTTTTCGAGTTGTAAAATGTAACTTACAGGTTTTATTTAAAAGAGCAACACTCAAGTTTCTTGCTCGTTCTTCTTGTGATGAGGCAGCTTTCCGCATGAGCGATTAAAAAAAATTATTATGACTATTCAAAAGTGTTTAAATTAAGTTTATTTGAATATATGATTTTCTATTCTATTCTATTCTATAGTCCTGAACAACTAAAATCGAAACTAAAAAAACGCTTATACTTTGCTCCATACGCCATAACCCTAAATCGGATCGGAGCACTAGTGATTTATGCCTTTAGCGTTCGTAATGAGGCCTTCGACCGAACTGAAATATGGCGGACCAATAACAATATTCCTCTTATATGGGATCAGACCCAATATTAATACCGCTATCACAGAAATTGGGATTTATACATATGTACGATACCAAATATACGTAATAATCCACTCGTAAATGGATGTATGATTACTATTTACGACAAAGACAGTCTATAGTTACGTTTAAACTTTTAGATAGATAAATAAAACCTTTATTATCAAGATTAAAGCATAAACAAAAATAAAAAAAAAAACATGCAAAATTGGCAATAGGAACTGTCTCAGATATGCTTTTCATATAATGGGAATAACAAATTGACGGTCCACCGTAATGGTAGCATGGTAAGCAGTTATCTTCGCCTATACAAGTACATGAGATTCACTATAGGCTAAGGTATCATGACGCCTGTGATACCACTCATGTGTTGTCATTCCAGAAAGTAGTACAAGCTAAGATGTCATGCATCTTAGCTTGTACTACTGCCTAAACGCGCCCTACAATCGTGACATAAATAAAAAAGTAAGCTTCTTGACAGCTGAAATAGTTGAGTCTAACGCCCGAAATTAATAACGTATCCACAATCCAAGATCGCTACCAATCTTAGATTGATCCCTATCTCCAGATCGATCTCCAATCTGCGTCCCAAAATGACAACTCTATTTTTTTGACACTCGATAGGCATCGATCCTTGGATCGACCGTTCCCTCCCGCCGTTCTGTGTTACGCAAAATGTATGCCGCTACTCACATTTCTGTATTTAGAATTTCGAAGTATATAATTTGATATTAATATACAATGTAATGTTAATATATTACATATAATAAAATACTGTGTTTATTATTTGTTATGTTAATTACAAAATTTCAATTCACCATTTTTGTGTTTAATCATTTATTGGTTCGTGTGAAACGTATCGTGATTTATACTTTGACTACGATTGATATTTGACAGCAGTGCAAACTATTTCCAGTTACAGTCTGTTACAGTACCGACTCTCAATATTTAATTGTTATTATTTTTGATTTTCTGAATTAAATTAACATGGATACAGTAATGGTAAGTCAAATCGTTTTTATTTTACGTATTGTAACTAAATTGATGCGTGCGCACATGTAATGCTGCGTAGCGTGAGTTTTTTTAATGACGCTTACAATTTCCCGCTAATTTTGTAAAAACAAACTAACATGAATTTAACAATTATAGGCGAAGGGCAAACCATTATCTAAAGATGAAACTAAGGCTTTGCTGCAACTTATTGAAAATAGTCGCATTATAACTACTAAATGTACCAACACCACCAACAACAAATTAAAAATAGAGGAGTGGACCAAAATAACGGAACAATTCAACGCAACGGCTACAACTTGTCGCAGAACGCCTCAGCAGCTTAGGTTGAAATGGGAAAACCTTAAAAAAAACTCCCGTAAACGAGCAACGAAAATAAGAATGAACAACATACAGGTACATACTATGTTTTCTAATATAAATTAATATTTCACATACATATAACTTTTTACATACATTGTAGTGGTGTTTTTGTTTACATAAATTTTATTTTGCAGACTGGTGGAGGTGCTCCTGATTACATACCCCCAGATGATATATTGGACCGTGTCGCTAGTGTCCTGGGGAGTACAGTTAGCGGGTTCACAGTACCCTTTGGAGGCGACAAGGAAGTTATTGGTGATGGTATCTGTGTTGGTGATGGAGTTGGTGGTGGTGTTGGTGATGGTGTTAGTGGTGGTGTTGGTGATGGTATTGTTGGTGCTAGCGATAGTGAGGGTCGGGATATGTTGATCTTGCCTGATGAAATAGTAACAGTTGTATCCTTGTCTGAGGATATAGCTGTCTCTGGTGCCCCGGTCATGCTGCCAACTCCAGAGAGACCAAAGCCATTTACATTTAATTCTTTTCAGACTCCTAGAAGGGCTGGTAATGATTTTTTTATTTTAAATAATTCTATATAATCGTATCTTATAGTATTCAGTCCTTTGGCAACATGGCAGGCTTTCCATTGATAACAGGATCTGTTTGCATTTCATATGATTACAAATTGTGTACACAATAATACAATCCCCTATACTATATTTTATGTTTTGCACTGTGGTATTGTTTAACTTTAATGTTATGGAACAAATACAATTAATATAGTAATAATGATGTCTTTTGATATTAATATAGGTGGTGGGTTTTATGAATATAAAGTTCTTTATGGAATGTACTAGAGAAAATAATCATTAATATTATTAATTAATTATTTTGTGTATTTTCAGGGAAAAGGCAAATACAAGGAGATAGCAATAGATCTGCAAGAAATACGGCAATTGCAGAATACTTCATAGTTAAAAAAAAGTTGATAGAGGAGAAATTAACCAATAGTACAATAGCAAATGAAAAATTAAAATTAGAATATGAAAAATTAAAATTAGAATATGACAAATTAAAATTAGAATATGAAAAAGTAAAACCAGAATTAGAAAATAACAGATTAGAAACTGAATATTACAAATTAGAAAATGAAAAATTAAAATTAGAAATTGCTAATTTAAAGAAATAGGACTTAAACATTAGTTAGACTTAATCATTAGTTGTAATTAATTAATTTCACAATATCTTTTTAACTTTTATTGTAATTAATGTACTCTTTTTAAATAATTAGGAACTTTGTAAGATATAGGTTTAACTGGCTAATTTAATTGCTTGTAGTGATTTTAAGTATAGGTTTTTAATAAAAATAGTTTTTAAATTACACTTTTCTTTTTATTTTCTATAACATTACATGTTTCCCAAACTATTGTTTTTTCTGTTATTTCTGTACATCATAAAGGTTGGTAGAAAAGGCATAATATTAAATATTTTTTACAATATAGCACAGCTATTTTAAATTTGTCCTTATATATAAATACTATTATGATATTAATCAAATCTCAACAGTAGAATAGAAAATCATTTATTCAGATAAACTTACATTGAAGCACTTTTGAATAGTCATTACATTTTTTAATCTACCGCTCGTTCGGAAAGCTGTCTCATCACAAGAAGAACGAGCAAGAAACTTGCGTGTTGCTCTTTTAAATAATTTTATTATTACTTTACATTTTTAAGTTTAAGTGTGTGAATACAAACCACCAATTAGCACTAATTCTATGGCCGGTACACTATTTTGATGTCGATTTTTGCAAATAATACACTACCAAATTGTACACAAACAATAATCGACACTTATTGCACTATTATATCACTAATAACGATGTTGAAAATATAATATTCGTGTGATAGACTATTAAAAATTATTTATTTATTACGGCCAGCTGAAAATGACAACTGTCGTTGGTGTTGCTAATCGAAGAAAAAAAAATTACACATATATATTAACAGTAAATTACTTAATAAAATTATTACAATATTCTAATTACTAGTCTTCATCTGTTCTCTTAAATTGTAAAATAATTATTTATAAGATCTGCTCGATGTTGCATGTCTAGCATAATCATGTTTTGTGCACCACTGTTTTCTATATTGTCAGTAGGTGGCAGCTCAACTTCTGGTGGGATTTCTTGTAGGTTCAGGTTTCTACACATGTTGTGCAAAACAGCTGTAGCTACTATTATAGCGTGCACATTTGATATTGACACTCTTAATGTCAGTGCTACCACTGGGAAGCGGCGTTTCCAAACTCCAAATGTGCTGTAATAAAATATTTTAATTAAAAGCCATATTTCTACCAATGTATATAAAATATGTTACTGGTTAGTTCATTACCGTTCAATAGTATTCCTAGTTTTAATATGTGATTCATTGTAACGAATCTCTGCTTCTGTAACTGGGTTTAATAGTGGAGTCAACAAATATGATCTGTTTGGATAAGCACTGTCACCAAGCAACCATCTGTTTCCAAAATCACCAGCATCACATTGAGCTATAAAGATTGATAATAATTATTATTAGGATCTCAAAAACAAAATCAATTTTATAAAAATAGTATAATTTAGAAAAACCTGTTACCTCTCAGTATAGAATTATTGAATATTGTTGCATCATGAGTGGAACCTGGCCAACGAGCTACAACATTCATCAACCTCAGTTCAGCATCACAAACAGCTTGAACATTTAAAGAAAAGTAACCTTTACGATTCCTGAACTCTTCACCTATTGTTTGACCTTAAAAGAAAATAAATAGTATTTATCTCAAAGGAATAAATTAATAACATATTAAACATGTTCTAATACAAAGATGGAGATTGTATGTGAAAGTATGTAAAGAAAAGAAATAGCATGTATCTCAAAGGAACAGTTAATAACATATTAAACATCTTTTAATACAAACATGGAGATTGTATGCGAATGTGTGTACAGTCAATTGCACCCAGGACACGAGGAAAGCCAGCAATCCTATAAAAATTTTCTGCACCTTCCTGATGTACAAAAATATACTTGTCATACAATCGGGCTATGGCTCTTGACATGTCTCTCATGATTCTACCAGCAGTCGATTTTGAGACTCCAACAAAGTCTGCCACAGAAATTAACATAGTGCCGAGAGCATAAAACCGGAGTGTCAAGAGAAGTTGATGTAGAGGAGACACGCCATAATTTCTGCAAAAAAATAGTTGATTGTGGATATGTTACATCTTACTAATGTTATTTTAAAAGCGGCACGAGGCAATAGTATTGATATATTTTACTTACTTTTTTGAGGTTACCCGAACAAAGGGCATTAATTCAGTCAATAACAATTGGAAGGCAGGTTTTGTAAGTCGAAACCTGAAGGTGAACTCTGCATCATCTAGCGTCTGCATGTAATTAACCCTTCTTATTATCCGTGAACTAACGCGTTGTTTGTCACTATCATCGTCACTAGAATTAGTATCCCAGTCGGATAACTGAATTAAATGTTCCAAATCACTGTCACTATCACTAGACGACATTTCAAAAGACATTTTGGTAAAAATCTATGAATTCAATCTGTACACACAAGTCGCAATCCCAAGTATTTCTAGGATAGCAAATTTAGATTGTTTACTTCGATCGATAGAAACGTCAAAACGCACAGATTGGTTATTAATACGCCACAAACGTCACTTTCATACAAATGTCAATCCAAGGATTGCGATCCGTCCTCCTAAAGATAGATTGCATTGAAAGATTGCAATGTCAATCCATAGATAGATTATTGGCACGCGTTTTACAAAAATAGATTGAAATTTCAATCTTAGATTGCTAAAAATGGATTAGGATTGAATATTAATTTCGGGCGTAAGAAACCCATGGAAATGACTTTTTACAATCTGCCTCGAATGACTTTCATTCATTCTTCATGTCATTTGCTACACATACTAATGTTATAAAACGTAAAAAAAAATATTTTCTGTTTGTGTTGGATTATTGAATAGTTCAAAATATTATATATTTTTTTATCTATTGCAAGTTGTATTGCTAACAATACCCTACAGTTTATTAAAAATTCTACAATAATTAAACGAAGCCTGGATGGCCCCTAGTTTACAATACAAATATTATTTTATAACGCAAGCCAGTAAAAGCTACTACGAGTATGACCCTAAAATGTTCCTGAATTAATACATGAACGTCCTTAGACATTCAGCAGAAGTGTAAAGACGCAAAGAATGAGGGTAAGGAGCATTAGAGCTCCAACTTATCCTAATAAATGGCTAGAATCTAACCTAAGCTGCTTCTACGAGGGAATTCTCAGAAAATTGTACGCCTTCATCTGATTTATCGCTTCTATATTGTACATCAACGTTGACAAAAATTAATCCCTAGTAATATAATACAATATCTGTGAACCATTCCGGAACTTTGATAAATTCATGAAAAATTAAAGATTCGCATTTTTTTGTAGATATCTAAACATGTGTAGTTTAATAAATTACGTTTACACTCAAACCTCATTAAATTTTTTACAAAAACAAATAAATATTACGGACTAATTAACAAAAAATAGTTATGTGGTTAATTTATATGTATTATTGTGTTTCATAATTATTTCAAGTATATCATATACCTGAAATATTTATGAAGCACAATAGTTGTCAGCTAAAAAGTCGTAATTAATTTACGACTTTTTAGCTGACAACAATATTAATAATTATACAAATACGTTGTCAACAAAAGGAAAGTTGTTGTAGAAATATGTAGTTAAACTATTTATAAAGGCATAAATGTTGTGATGGCAATGTTAGACAGTGAAGTAACATATGTATAATTTTGTTTTATAGTTTAGTTTAAAGAATACAAAAAATAAATTTTGAATATACTAATATCAAAAGAGTTTCTCAACGAAAGTAATCTGTCTCTAAAACTCACCAAATGTGAATTATTTTAAACTATTGGCCAATGAGTTTAAAACCTTTATTGCTTTTAAAACTTCGCCATCTTTATTAGTCTTATTAAATCCGCTATTAACTGTGTCTTGTACCAAAATTTAATATCACCCCACTACTGTGTTTTCTTAATGCACACAATTGCCGCCATTGTCCTTTTCTCCTAGGTAAATATTTAATTGGGTATTAAGTGCTTTGGTTTAATGGCTTAATCGCTTTAATACGCCATTTTGATTTCTTTCTGAGCACTCTATCTTGAACACTAATTACATTTTGTTAAAATTACTTATTAAGATTGTTGGTTTTGCTATTATAATATTATTATATTGGTAGTATAAATTTAATAAAAGTGAATAATAATATATGTATATATACTATGTTATAATATTACCACAGACCATACAGAGACTTTGACGGAACTTACACAGTACTTATAAATAAGATATACAAATATACGATAAATACTGTAACTAACAAATATTTTAGCAGACATAGTGGTCTATGCATCTATACTAACTTCGATCGAAATCGAAATCGGCGAAAAACTAAAGAGTTCTGTGTCATTTTATAGAGCTGATAGAGTCAAGGAAACAGATAATAAATTGAAAATTAGACCTATAATCTCACCCTCAGCTACGTTAGGTTTAAATACACCCGGGATATATTTACTACATCATAATAAAACATTGGCTAATATTTAATGACATATTATGTAAATTGTACGAAATATAATGATGAATGTCATGTACCAGTTGCAGACGAAGTAGCGCAGGTCAGCTAGTAACAAACAAAGCACTTATACAATGTCATCTGTTATTTAATTAATTAATATAATAGTAGTTAGGGTATTGAAAATATTTACAAAATTCTTTATGTCGCTTGAGTGTTATTTTTCTCATCTTTTTTTTAATCATATTTTAACACATTCTGAAAATATTACATGTCAAGCGTCACCACGTGGATAGTCGAAAATCGCTCTGATTATCTAGGATATCTAGAATATCATACTAAAGTATAGTTAAATTCTAGACTTAATTAATATACAACAACAAATTAAATTAAAGATAAATACTTGAAAGGTGGCAGCTACCAACTTCAGCATGATAAAAAATAAGGGAGGAAAATTTTAAATATGCAAAAAAGAAATGCAAGTCAGTGTGTCAGGGGCAGACACGAACACTCCAGAGGTTCAGATAAGTCGAGTGGCGTCGCCGAGCATCCCCTTAATGACTTGGCTGTACTTCATGCAACTAAAAAGACGAATTTCAATAGTAATTGAGATAGTCAGAGTTTAGTCACGTAATTTTATCTATGCGAATATGAAATAATAAATAATATTAATAACTCTGAATAATTCACACAGCGCCATCGAGTCCCAAGCTAAAGAGAGCTTGTGTTATGGGTACTAAACAACTAATACAAATTCTTATTACTAAATTCTTATTCTTAATACTAAAACAATCATATTCATAAATACAAGCACCGAGACCGCCAATATATAATAAATTTACACATGCTCTACTTGTCTTCAGATTCGATGCGCTGTGTGAATTATCCTGAGATAGAATTATTATTATTATATTAAAAACATGTCGTTCTCCAAACAAAATTATATGTGTATACCAAATTTCATAATTGTTATAGTTAATCTTAAAGGTATAACAGATGAACATACGTTCAAATTGATATTAGTTCATATTATATGATGTGAATTGATAAAAGTACGAGTTGTCTACTCGTATATTTTAGTTAATAACATAAGCTATCATTTGTTAAAACACAATTAGGAACTCTCTTCCTGTCGTCGTATTTTCCCCTTCCTATAATCCCGAGGCTTCCAAAGGGAAACAATACTTTTGGAGGCTTTCAACACCACGATTGCTAGCACAATGAGTCTGTCAGCTCAACCCTAACATTTTCCGTTTTCCATAAAATGGAATCGGTTTAATACCTCCATAAATAGAAAATCATCTATAAAAATATAAAACCAGATAAATAATTATAAGTCTATATTGCCCACATATAACAAAATAATAATAAAAGTGCATTAAAACGTGTGTAAAAAAGGAAGATATTATCGCTATACTTAAATAGAGTAAAAATAAAATATAAATTCATAACTGTCAGATAACTCAAGCATTTTATTTTTTATGGACGAAGAAAACTAATCAGATTTCCAGATTTCTTGAGCCCAACCGTCATGTTTTTATCATATACTGTATTTTCCGTATTCCATAAAATGGAGTTTTTCCTGTAGATCTTTAATAAAAAAAACTGCACTATAAATATTTTTAGAATATGTATCTATTTCGACATTCATTATGCACAAACTACAATATGAATTAAATGCAATTTTCCCCGATGTGTTGCTAGAAGTCTAATTTCAAATGTATATTCTCTTCATTTCAGGAAAATATCTTATTCCATACGAAGCAAGGGTGCATTACTAGTCATTAATATTAAAAGATAAATGTGGTACACCTATATAGATACGTAACTTTATCTTATTATAAAGTATATAGAAAAAGAAAAAGAAATTTAAATCGGAGTGATACATTGCACAAAGCGTCTGTGAACAAAATAAATCATTATGAAAATGGGATAACTTTTATAAACGTATTCCAAAGGTAGCTCTCGTGTTTCGCAAACTTTCCCGTGATTCATTTCGCGAGTCCTTACAACAACTTTATTGTTTCCAATTATTTTTTTTTTCTTCTCATATAATATTCTTTTATTCTATAAGTAGAGTAACATTTTTATCTATATTTTACAAAATAACAGATTTTACATAAATACATTATGATGTACATAAAAGTAGTAGGTCAGTTTAGTTATTTATACGTATAATTAGTAAAAATCACGGGATCTTACCACGTTTAAATATAAAACGTGGTAAGATCCCGTGATTTGTACTAATTATACGTATAAATAATGACCGCGTCAAATTTAAAACAGTTTAGTTGTTATCTATAGACGAATACTATATATAGAGAGATAGATAGATAGATAATATTTAGATAAATGTGAAATATACCTCCACGACTGTTATGCCAGATATGGTAGTCAGTCGCATTGCCCATTAGCGACGTCATGTAGAACGTAACACTTGACATATTTCGCATTTATTTTGTCTTCATATTAAACAGATAGCATACGTTACTAAATAATAAAATCTTATTAAATAATTAAATTTAATTATTAATTTAGAATACGATAGAATAAGTCAAACCTATCCGCGAGTTAAGAGTAATGGAGTCTGGAACAACATCTTTACAAAATTATAACATTATAACATTTATGATAGAGATGAACTTCTTAGCATTCCATGAAATCATGGAGCGGGTGCCGGATTCTTCAGCAGGGGAGGAACTCGTGACCCGGGTGTTGGTTTAAGGGGCCCCTTTTTCTCACCTTCATCGCTTCTGTTTCACTCTCTGCTCAGCCCAATCGAGTATGAGCCTGCTAGTGTAGCTTTAGTTACATGTCTTAGTATAGAACTTACTGCAGTTCTAGTTAGGCCAAGATCTTTTTGAAGATTGTAGAGAGATTTCGCACCTCAACTACATATAAAGTAACCACAAATCCATTTTTCATTCATTTTTTTATTAGTTGGTAATATTTATTTATTTTATTGAATGGTCCTACATTTATTTCTCACTAATTGATCCAATAAGT